TTGAGCTTGGCAAACCGGACCAAGTTCTCAACACCAAGGCCAGATTGCAACTGATGTTGTGTGATTGTGATTTTGTGTACACGCACTATATGTACCAGGTATTGTCTGCATAAGGAATGAGCAAAAAAGCACCGTTCGGCTGCGAGCTATCAAATCTTGTTGGATTGCCTGTCGCATGCCATGTGGAGTGTCTTAGGCAAATCTAGCTGCAAAGTTTGTCTGTTTCATGAACTTCTCCCTCTTCTTGTCTCTTTATTCTCTGCAGCTTCTGTCGTGCTGAATCCAGCAATGGAACATCTAAAATCCAGCCAAGGTATGTTCATCCCCCCTTACTAAGAGATTCCCCCAAAACACAAGCAATCGCACAGGCCAACCAGCAAATGTTGGGTTAGGATGATCCCCAAGCTCTTGGGGATCCTATTAGACCTCAAACCATTCGTGGCTTGGCGGCCCGGCCGATTTCGGTACAAGGCACAGGTGTGACCTGATCTGCTTTGTGGCACCTGGGACAGGAGCTGTCTCAATTTACAGTCAGTTTCCCAGAAGCGATGCAAGGGACGGACTGTGCTGAGAAGTGGCATGCTTGCTCTTTGATTTCAGTGGCTTGTTTGCGACACCCGAGGGAATCAACAGCACTTGCCCCAGCAAAGACCTAAACCATTCAGACCATTGCTCCATGCCACATGTTGGGATTGGCAGTGCCTTTTCAATTCAAACGGCCTTCAACAAGTGTCTGCAAACTATACTAGCCGCGAAACAAGCGTCAAATTACCTGTTCGATTCCAAACCCTCACGCGAGCGTTGCAGCTGACGAGATGTACATTTTCGCAGAGAGCCAAGAGATGTTGACCATCTGGCAACAAGCCACTAACAAACTACAGCAATCAGTAATGGCAATTAGCACAACTTCCAAGCAACATGTGTGCAGAGTCCAAAAAACTATCCTTCTTATTGCGCAACGTACATCGTAGTGTGACCTCGGTAGATGCTGCCTCTCAAAGAAACGTTTGCTGCACAAAGGAGCCACCCTTTAACTACTTCGCATCTGCTTGCGCCCAGAATGCAGGCTGTCCGGAAAGCAGCGACGGGTGCTGAATACAATGAAGCACCAAGTCCCAAACCAATTGTTGCAACCCCAGCTAACCGCCAAGTTCCTGCCTCATGCTTTCCTTCGAAGATTTTCCGAGGGATGCGTCTCCTACTTTCTGTCATGGAAGAGTATCTGCCAAACCAGGCACTTTCAAACGCCGACTGAAGTGGATGCACGTGAATTGGACTGAGACGGCCAAGTCAAGTGGCACATCTTGGTCTCGAGCTACGCACAGTTCACCAGGGGTCGGCTGGGTTTCTGCAAACTACTCAGCGTATCTTCCTGCCTAGCCAATTTGCTTAGAGACTACAGGTACCAACTGAAGATCTTTGACTTGCTGGGTTTAGTGGATCCTCACTTTTGGAGTGCTTCGGCGTTTAGCTCTTCGACCTTCGACACGCGCGGAAGCCGCGCGGAAGCCCCGCGGCTAGCCTCACCGTGACACTCCAGCAGCTCCCAGCAGGGGTAGCTGCCAGCCTCGCGCTGCAAAGGATACGACAAAATGCGATGCCCAGGGAAATTCAGAAGCAACGAAACGAAACAAAAGCGAAACAAAAACAAAAAATAACGGAAAATTAATGAGCCAAACAAACAAAAGTAACCCGCCCCGAACCAACCCCGTCTAAGTGATTGCCACCTGCGTAGGCGGGCAACGGGCTCGTGATATCTTCTCCAGGAGCCCATCATTCTGCCGTGAGAGTCAGCAGTCACCCTCGCTGGCAGGCTTCCCCATCACAAGTTGGATTTCCAGGCTGAACGCACCAAGCATGCAAAGATTCACCCAACAGCCGAGCATCTATGAACTCAAGCTCAGCTTGATGCACTTCTGTTCCAAGAAAGTGCAGGCTTGCCTGCATGCGTTGCGAGGCTTGATGCTTTAAAAGGCAAAACACCAGTTGTGAGGACCGAGGGTGCGACACAATGATTTGGCCTAAGGTACGAGGCTTTGCAAAGACAACACAAGGTAAACATACTTGAAGGTAGTCAAGTTGAGCTACTAATGGAAACAAACAGATCTAAGGATTGAACATATTATCAAGTTAGCTTCCCTGATAGATTGTGATTCTCAAACACCTTCGTTTGGTCTTCTACTCAGGAAACTAAGCATCATAAACAGGGACTCATAGCGTTCTTCTTTTTTGGCCCGGCATTCTTGGCACAAGTTCCAGTCGAAGGTCAAACAGGAGGGATTGAAATCCTTGGGCAAGGCTGTCGGCTGTTGAAACTAGCACTCCAGGCTCCGGAAGACAAGTCTCACATACGCCTTTGAACTTCCATACGCAAGAAGTTGAAGATCCAAAAAACTCAGCAATGGCCAACACCTCCTGCCTTTTGCAAGGGCAACTGCCTGTTGCATTTCGGCTCCAAGCGCTTTCCTTGTTCTCAGTATCCGAGAGCAATGGCTCAAATTGCAAGCTCCAATGCCACTCCCCGGCCACAGGGGTCCGCGCCTCAAAAGCCATCTGACATTAGCTCTCACATGCGAGGTGCGCAGGAAACCTTTGCTTTGCTGCCTGTGCTTTCTTCCTTAGCGCACCTTTGCTCTCTATGCTTGCGCAGATTCAATCCAGCTACCATGAAAAATGGGATTCCTGATGTCAGGATCGGTATAGCGGCTGGATGCAATATTGCTCTGCATTGCTTTCTACCCTTGGTGCGAGCAGGAGTCAGCTTTCCCTACAGTCCGCCACTTGCCCGGCCTGTGCAGGATTTCCTGGCAAAGAGCCTTCAAAGCAAGACTTGATCTAGGAACCTAAGCACAAAGCCTGGTCCACCAAGTGCTTATCACAGTTTGACCGGAGCTGAAACAAACAGAAATGACTCGCGCAAGTGCGCGCATCCTTTTCTCATGGCCGGTCAACGGTCTGCACTCCGCACTTCATGACCGCATGCCGCCCAATTCTAAAGAGAACATCTCTGCACTGGCATCACCGGAGACACTTTTGGCCTTTCTGCATGGCGCTGCAGTAAGATCATATAATGTCTAAAGTCAAGTGCACAATGCGAACCAAACATTCCAGCACCCATCGTTGCACTGTTGCGGGCAAAAGGTGTAAGAGAACACACGCACGCACAACATATCAAGAGCCCATACAATAGACATGATTTTGCTGACAAAGTCTATGTGAACATAGTCCAAATGAGAACATGAATCAAGCAAGCGCGTACGCCTGACTATCTTTCATTGACTGCTTCGCCTTTCAGGGCTGCAAATGCTTCCGAAAACGAAGGGATCAACCATCGCCGGTGGATGTATGCTCGCACGGAGATCCTGGCGACCTTTCCCCAAGGCCAGTCTCCCACGGCTCGTGCTTGATCTGCCTAGGGTGGCGTTGAATTTGATGACTGGAAAGGAGTTTCCCTAAGTCAGGTGCACCCCAACAGCAAAAAGCTCGCGGTTTCTGAACGAAAGCGATGCAAGTTGACCTGGACACAACTTGACAAGGCGTCCACACGTAAAGTTGGGGCTTTGTTTGCCATAAATACGCGCTCCTCGACCCTCGTGAGCCTGTCTAGTGCTGCCAACATGAAGGTGCGAACTCTGCAGTTCAAGATTGCTCTGTTCCCAACAAGATGCCTCTAAACAGGGAGCGACGTTTAGGATCAAGCGAAACCCGGCAGGACAAGAGCCACTTAAAGGCTTCAACTTATGGGGCGCATTTCTCAGTTCTGCCTTTCAGTTGGAGCTGTGCCTTGGAATGCGCCAGTTGCGCTAGCACTCGTGCGGGTGAGACAAAGCCGAGTATCGACTCGACCACTCGGCGGCCTTGATTTTGGCAGGCGGCCAGGCCCGGTGTGATCTCATGTTTGCTTTTTTGGAAATCCTTCTCAATCCGAATTCGTGTGTTGGGCCATGTGAAAAGACGGACCAGGAACGCGCTGAAGGTGGTAGTTTAAAAGTGAACATACCCGGTCCGCCCAGATGCAAGCAAACGCGGTACGCAGAAAGAGTTGCAATTTTGCATAGCTCCACCAAGTGTCAGTGGAGTTCTTCTCTGGGCAAAGGATTAAGACTTCATGGGGTGCTTCTGTGCGCACCGGAGTTATGGGCGGCAAAAAGCGTGACAGCTGACTTGGACTAAGACATCCCAAAATGTTTGAACTCGCAAAGCATACTAAAAAGGCGTAAATAACAACATGCTCAGCAAACGGTTGCCATCTCAAGCATGACAAGCATGCTTTATGGGATTCCAAGCGTAAGGCAGGCTCTGATTCGGTCGTAGTCACACGGATTCAAGGAATGCTTGAGGTGTTTCTCAGCTGGTTCCTGATTGGTAAACACCAAACAAATCAGTCAAGGATTCCCTTGACATGCAAATCCAGAACGCCCAACAACATTATAATGGCATACCATCATGCCACTATCCCTGTCCTGCGGAGGCTTGTAGCAAAAGTGATACCCTTCCCTTCCCATTCGCGAATTCTTCCAGTTATGAGGAATAGTGTTCAAACCTAGAGCATTGTTGCGCTGTCGCAAGCCTTCCGTGCAACACGTGGTCAAGTGAGATGCCATCTTCTGCCTTGTGCTCCACAAAGATACAATATTGTGCAACGCAATAACAGGGCATCGCATTCAGGCAACAAACAAAACCAGCGGCAGCGACCTTGTGCCTCTTGTCTTGGCGGCACTCTTCAGCTTCCCCCCGATTGGTGGTTTGACTTGATAAGTTTAGTGGTTAAGGGCTAGTTTGCCATTCACCCTCCACGAGAACCAAGGGTTCAAAGCCCCAAACCACCAATCTAAACCACCTTGACTTGCGGTCCAGGGAAAGAACAACAAGTGCTAGTTCCCGCTGTGGTTGTCTGGCGCTGGGACCCTTGTCGCAAGTGGTCTCGAAGTAAAACGCGCGCGCACGGAACATCTGCGCACACCCCCGCAATTGGATGGGGTGGCTCCTGAAATTTCTGAGTTCACTCCATGCTCTTGCCGCACCAATCAACCGGCTGTGGCCTATCTTATCTCTTGAACTCTGGATGAAGCTGGAACCACCGCCAGCGAGGAATGCACTCAGGCCAAGTAGTTGTAGACTCTCCTGCACATTCTTGTCCGGTCGCAGAAACATGTGCTCTGCGTGCTCCAGGCAATGTGTCAACGCCACCAATATCATGTGGCTATCTCAAAAAAAACATTGGGTGTCTGCCCACACGTCCCGCGGCGTGTGCGTGTGTCTGTTTGTTTCAAAGGTCGTTCTCCGAGAGGTTGCGCCACATATTAAGGCAGCCAAAATTTGGGAAGCCCAGGGCGCATCCCGGCCAAACAGGAACTGTCCAAAGTTGGCCCCCCAAGAGGCCGCAGCGAACTTCTCGATTGCATCTGAATGAATCAGAATGACCATGCTTTCTCATTAAACAGGACCAATCCATTCCAATAGAAAGCAAAATCCCTGACCGAAATGGGCATTCATCGATAGGTCTCATTGCGGTCGACCAATGGCGGCCTGCCCCCGAAGTTCCCAACATCTGATCGTCCTGTCCGACTGCGATCTTTCCAGGTACCTGCGCGTCAAGTTCTGAGCAGAAGCATTTCCTTGCATGGGGATGTCCACATAGACACGCAACCTCACAAGTTGCGAATCGCCCTATGACTTGCATCACATGCCGAATGGCTTTTGAGAAAGAAAACAAAGAAGTTGTTGGCTTGTCGTGACAAGCGAACTAAGACGACGTTGCATTCATTAAGGTCTACAACAGCAGCCGGTGTTATCTGCCAGCGGGAAGCTTTCCAACATTCCCCAACTTTTCCCTTTGACCTTCAGCTCAGAGGCTAAAGGCCTTAGATCTAGGAACTCCTGTTTTGAAAACGGCCCCTAAACAATCATTTTCAATACAGCCGCCGTCTAAAAAAGCAAGGCCACAGAGTCGAACACAGGGGGTGCCCACAAGAGCCCCGGATCCTTTCTTTCTCTGACTGTTTCGGGGTCCGCTGTGCGCTCTATTGGCAAGTTGTTCTGTTGTGCGTGTTTTTAAATCAAGGGCGGTTTATCTGAGACCTGGGAATCTGAGATCACATAGGTCTTGGCAACACAAAATTAAGAATTGCAATTGTAATTCAGCACTGGGAATCTGTGGCTAAATCTTGGCATATTACATCTAGATACATTTGGATTGGCAAACCTAATTCAAGTACTGGGAATCTGAGACTAAATATTGGCTGTACTAAAATAGTATTGGCAAATCCAAATTTAGTACAAGGAATCTCAGATCAAGTCTCGGCGTCTAAAATCAGTATGGCCAAATCCAACGAGCCACCCCCCCCTGCCCCACAGAAAAGAAGTCCACTAAAGAGGCTCCAAATGACTGGGGGTGGGTCACACTAAAGCAGACCCAACATTCGCCGCAAGTCGCTTGCAAAGGCCACATGGAAGGAAATAATTTGACCCACACCGGAGCCGATGCCCTGAGTATTGCCGTTGAATCAACCTTCGCATTCGGAAGCATATGAATTAGAATCCGCAGTGGTCAATGTCATCATGCCGGTTGGTGAACCGCTCTGTGCAGCTCCATTGTGCACGCTCAATCTGCCTCCCCGTGGTGACAGTTGCTGTTGGTGTCATGTCTCGTGTGTTGGGCGCTTGCCGTGACATTCTGTCTTGGCCTTGGAGGGCTCTCTTATATGGAGACCAGTTGGGGGCACTCCCGCTCGATCAGCTTCTCGATGCGCTGCTTAATGAGCGTCGGCGACGGCTGAAAGCGGGCGGTGAGATGTCGGGTAACCTGCCAACGGACTGCGGCAGGGAATCAGCAGTCCGAGAACAGAATGGCAAACATCCAAATTTCAGGTGCATCCACGGGTGGGGGGGGGGGCGGGGAAAGGTTGCGCCCAGATGTGACCACTGAAAGCAGAACCTGAGCAACAACTATATCTCTTGCTACTGGTTCGATTCGCTGCATTTGCTACTCCCTTGCCGGGAAAACAACTCGACCCTTTTGCCCGTCTCTCCAAAACAGGAGGCGCGAAGGATTCTGATCAAATGGGTGTGCCAGTGGACGCTGTCTCCTCATATGGTATTCATTCATAGGCAATCTCAACGACATAGACTGGAGGATTGTGAAAACGCAGAGCCACAAGAAGCCGCACAGTTCCAAAGACCTTTCATTCATCTCACAAGCAGCCGCTTGAAGAAACCACGGACATGAAACACCTCCACCAAAGACACAAATCAATTGGCGCTGATTTACAGCCGGAGATTCATCGTTTGTACGCTGTTGCCTAGTTCACACAAGGATCCAGGCTTGGGATCAAAATGCATCTCTTGTCCATCGGAGGTTGGCGAGTTCAGACATTCGCCGACACGCGACAAGCCAACCAATTGACAGCGCGAAGGCATTGCCTCCATCACAAGCTGGTTGTGCTCCTGGCAAATGGCGGTGGGCCAAAACCAATGGTACCATTTTGGGGTAGGTGCACCGCCCATTTTACAACCTTTTTTAGTGGGGATTGGGATGTTCACTGGGGGAACGGGATTTTGACCCATGGCCAAATCATGACGATACCATGTGATTTGGGCGCATCCGATCTGCTCGCAACTCGCATCCTACGGATAAAGAACATGTTCATGCTATTCTGCACATGCAGGAGCCTGTTCCTATATGTGTGTGTGTGTCCACTACATGCACAGCCATTTGAAGCATGCGCTCAAGCAATTCAGAAAGAATTGCTAAGCAAGAACGGGCGTAACCAGTCCCCTTTCGATCCAGGTCACAGGATATGTATTGCGCAACTATAAGAGCCCCAAGCACTCGGCCTCCAAGAATTCTTCGAAACCTGTACCACTGAAAGCCGTGACACATTGAAAGGGACAAACTAAACAAGGGAATGTTCACAGGTCAGGGGGTGATTGAAGCCATGGGTGATCAGCGCATCCGGGTCAAGCAGCTTCAAGCCGCTCAAACTCCATCCCTTGCCCACAAATCCGATCGAAAGGCTTCGGCCGATCGAGTCCCGCAAAGGTTGTGCGGAATTTACATCGATGTGTTTGGATTAGATGCACTGCTGCCACTTCTACTTCGGTGAATCTCTCAAAGGTATTCCGCATGATTGCTCATCAACATGTGACCATCAGCGACACCACCGCAAGCGCCAATCTCATCACAAACACCAACACCAACACACAGTAGGCATCGCTTGTCATCGCCGCTCACCATCCCCTCGTGGTCATCATAAACATCATCATCATCATCATCATCATCATCATCATCATCATCATCATCATCATCATCATCATCATCATCAATAATAATGCCTATCGCCATCACCGTCATCGTCGGGGCCGCTGTCGCCGTCGTCATTGCCATCCTCATCCTCATGCTCATCCTCATCCTCATCATCATGATCATCGTCGTGGGTTCTACAATAATACCCAACAGTTTTGGTTTCGAGCATGACATGCAGCTCTGAAGCCTAGGCGACTGACCCAAGAATCGGCTCCGACTCGGACATCAAACTGAAAGGCATCCACCATCGATCAATTTCTGCAAAGTGGTTGCTCCCGTCTGTTTTCTTGTGGAGAAGACTGGAAAGACAAAAACTGCTTGACCTCATGGTTGGTATGAGCTGTAATCAAGGCTTCCTAGGGCGAAAGGCGACGGCTCGCTCTAAAACACGAATCCTGAAAGTAGACGCGAACCTTCCGAGAATCATGTAAGCTAATCTACCCTTGGTCCCCCCCCTCTCCAGCTGCTTTCGGCTCTTCATGACGCGAACAATGACTGCCTGGCGCATTCAAGGCGGGCGACTTGTCAAATCAGAAGCTAAGGCTATCAAGACCAAAGAAGAATCGGAGTGTGCACAAGCCCCTATGAAAGACTGCTGGCTATTCGGAATGCTTGTGTGGGAAACTGGATCCAGCAGCTTCCTTTCATGCGAAGAGAAACAACGGAGACATGTTTGACAATAAATAAGTAATAGAATCGCTATCACAAAGTTTGCCAGCGGGTTCTTCTTACACTTGAAAAGCCGAAGAAGAAAACGCGGACCTCTGCAATGCTCGGGTCCCGTCAGTTGCTCTCATTTCCATCTGGCCCATTGCTGCAGAAACTTGCTGCGAGAGCTGCTCATCGCGAATTGCCCCTTCGAGCAAACCGAAACCCCTCACGACTTATGATATGGCTGGTTGTCAAGAGTCAAGGGCAAACCAAAACCAAGAACTTGGAGTTGGAGCAAATGCTCACATCCCAAAACGTTGCCTCCACCAGATGCTTTCTGTCCTGGCGCTTTCAGGCTTGCATCAGTGGCTGGGCGACGCAACCACCAAAACCGGCGCCTCGGTTGATACGTTCCTATCTTTAAAACGCTCCCTCGTCTGTCGGACCCGAACAAATGAAGACGACCAGCCCTACGGTACATATCCGGCAAAGTCCCCGCATAGTTGAGTTGGCCATGTGATTCGGCAGTCTAGCTGGCGCAAGGCCGGTGAAGCACCACGTGACCGAGGGTTCCTGGCTGGGTTTTCCACTTCTCATACCCGGCAACGTGAATACTTTTACGTGATGAACATTCGCTAGCACCTGTCACACTGCAGTCGGCCAAACCCACCAGCTGTTTCAAGTCACACTGATCATGCCAAATCCCATGCAAAGACATGTTGAGATCATGCAATTGTGGTTGTTTGTCTCATGCCAATGTTGACAAACTACTCAGGACTGCAATCAGTGGGGGCCTGCCATTTGCGTTCGTTGCGGTCCTCTTCCACCGTGGCAGGCACATCGCCGCCCGCAGAGCCGTCAGGAGCCTCGCCATGATCAACGGGAAATCCATGCAACCAAGCGGAAGGGGGCGGCACTTAGGACTGAGACGATGTTAGCAACTCATTCAAAGCTCGATGGTTCCGTGCCCGCATGCCAAATCAGATCTTTTGATATCCATTGTCCTACATAGAGCACAACTCATGTCGCATACCTTCCTCTGTGATGCAAACATCTAAGGCGAGGATTCTAGGAGCTAGTCTGCCGTCCAACCATTGCAGACTCCAGCCATGCCTTTCCATCACTTTTGGCATTCTTGTTCCTCCAGTGCAAACATACGCAGGGCATTGTCGGCTCTTGCTGAAAGTGACCCATGGTACCCAGCGATTTCACAGGCCCCGCGACCGTACTTAGAGGAGCGCAATTCGTTGATTCCCATCCTTCACCAACTGCTGTGTGGACTTGGCAAGGATGTTTGCTTCCGTCACCATTCCAAATGAGACCACTGGTATCAGTATACCAACATCATATTTTGTCCCGTGCCTGGCAATGGAAACTTATCCCCAACCCACACATGCAGGGCCGTGTGAAATGACCACTTCATTGATACAACAGAAAGGGCTTCCCAAAAACTAACCCCCCATATAAAGGGGGAGATTCCCTTGTATCACAAAGTGGGGATAAACCCCGAGTGATCCCACAACCCTGCACACAAGCCGTGCGTTCAGTCGGCCCGTAAGCCAAAGATGAACCAATCTGCAATTTTACTATATTTCCAAAGCTGAATCAAGGGATCCCCAAGAAAAGGACCTTTATCATGGTAAGCTCGTTCTACCCCAGGTGAGCCCGCTATAAATTAGGCAGACCAATCCCCAACGCCGGCCTCCCGTGACATGGTTGGCCCGTCCGCGCTCTTGAGCTGCACCAGTGGTACCTGCGAAGCGGCGCTCGAGACGGTCACCAAAAGAAAACCGTCTCGCGAACCAAGTCCCATCTACAAAGCTTGCACATAGATGGCCCTGGTAAATGGACTCAAGCCCATCTAAACCCTGCAATCAAGCTTGATGCCCTAACGTAGATGCCGGCAAACAATGGTTTCCGCCACGGTTTCATTTCGTCGTGTAGGATTCCGTCCATCCACAGTATCTCCACTAGGAACAAGTGTCGCAAAAGCATGCTTGCGGGGAATCAGCTGGGCCTCAGCGCTGCAAGGCACTTTGCGATGTCCTCAATTCCCAGTGCAGGTTTGTTAAAAGACCTATCCGAGAATCCCGCTTCAATTCGCCCTTCAGCCATAAGATTGAAATTCCTGCCACGAAGCCGGAATGGATCGGACATCCAGCGATGCTTTTTGCGCATGGCACTTCTACACTATGCTTCAAGGCTCAATCAACTGGCAGCATCGGAATGTCATGGCCCACCGTCAAGCTTCAGCTGAATCCACTGCATGTGCATGATCGTCAATTGCTGGCATGTTGCATCCTTGACAAACGCACAACGACTTGCTATCAAGTGTGAAGGCCAGAAACAACAAAGGCACAAAGAATGCACAAATGCTTAATATTCAAGAAGATGTCTTCCGCAATCTTGCAAAGCCCACAACTTCCACACAAGCCCCGGGCTGAAGAGGGCAGTCTGCCAAAACCGCCAGCGATTGACTTGTGCCCTGGAATTCAATGTCTGTTGGCTGGAATGCCCTCCCAACGGCCATCCTGTCTAGAAAGGTAGGGCAGAAACACCGGCTGATTGAAACAAACAAGATTGGGGGCGAGCGAACTGGAAAAATGAACCATCATGAGAGATGAGCATGATGTACCTTAAGTGGGCAGCACAAAACGTTTATGCCGTTTCAGGAATCAAAGCTAGCAAGCCTGTATATGAGTGGGGCATCAGTCTTGCCTTAAGGAACACAAGCAATCACGTCCTCAACATAAATACATCCACAACGTAAGATCCGATAATCTTGCCCAACCAAGCCCCCTGGCCTTGATCCGCAAGAGCTTGCTCTCGAACTGAGGGTTCACCGCGAACCTCGGGTTGTTTGAAGCATCCATGGTGTGGGGTCAATACTCCGTATTCCCGACAAACCGACCAAGAGTCACTTCTTCCATGCGGTGAAGCTTTGACAGTTGCAAGCGTGTGGAAGTGAATTGGCTGAGATTCCTGCTGGTCGCTGTCCTCCAGATCCTTTTTCTCCTTGTCTGCGTCCAGTCTCACCAGAATCTTGGCCTGACAAGAAAAGAACGAGTCAGGCCGTTCGGGCTGCCAGAGCGCAACAACAGCTCTCCGAGTGAACAAGCAAAAAGAAGAAACAGCCGTGGCCCCTGCACAAGCCTTCGCAGAACGGCACGCCAAGTTCTTGCCAAGCAACATTGAAATGGGAAATCCATGGGACTGTGTTGCGGTAACACCCTCTTTTCAGAGCCATCGTTGCCCCTAGGTTCAACACAACTCGCATGACCGTCACCTTGGGATTGACGTAGAGGCTCATCAAATGCCGCTTCAACTCCTCCAAAGGGATGTTGGTTCGGAGCTGCAAATCCTGGCTCAGATCCCATGAGAGATTGGACCAGGGTGAAAGTAGACACCATTCTCGGTTGCGGAGAAGTGATAATTTTAAACCGAAATGGGATAAGATATATAACCAGAATGGGATGGACATGTGCCATTCGCCCAGCAGCTTTGCAAATCATTCATTCACAGGTCTCCCCGCTCTTTCAACTGTGTGTCGAATATCAGCTGATAGCAACCGCGTAATGCACATCCACTGATTCAACACAACACAAACTGTGGCAAAAGGTAATTACCACACATGGGTGCTTCTCCAATGTTTTAATCCCACGTCGGAGACGAGAATACCTGCTTGTTAGATGAGCATGAGCAAATGTCCTTCAACAAAAAAAAAAAAAAAAAAAAAACAGAGCGAGCAGCAAAAACTCATGCGCTGCCGAAGAAAGCAAACTGAGTTAGTTAGTCACGATCACGCAAAAACCGGGCGAGGCTCTCTCGCAAGCAGCTTTGCTTGGAACATCTTGGAACCACTGAGATGTGTCCGTTGGGTTGTTGAAAACTTGGCAAGAGTTCTCCATGAAGATGCTGCGACTCTCACCATCCCCGATTGGCCCGGGGGATTGGCCAGACTCGGCTGTACAAGCAGAATCACAACGGTGGCCATTCTGCGATTTCAATAAGCCGCTGAAGGTACCAAGTCCGACAGTTCCGGGGTTGATCAATATTCCTGAACCCCAAATCACCATGCTTTTGATCAACCCCCAATGTCTGAATCCTTTGTCAATAGTGCTGTGGAGGAGATTAACTACAAAGCTCCCAACACAGCGAATGCAAAACGACAAATACTTCTTATAAACAGAAACACAGTCATGCCACACGTGCACAAGTCATGCCATTGCTAGCCGTAACCATCACAATCTCATCTTTTGGAGCTGATCGTGTGGTCATATGTTGTCGTCGTTGTTGTTCTGTAGTTGCTCTGCCCTAAATCGGCATGCTTGCGCGAAACCCATTCTTCGCTTGCTCATGAAAGCCTGTTGGTGCCAGCGCAAGCCTCCAGATCTGGCAGCGTCATTGGATCACTAACAAGAGGTTTGGCCATATCCAGTTGAAGCCGGCCAAGTCTGCTTGGTAGCGTCCCGTACTACGTGATTCATGCAATCTCAATCCTGTCACAGGCTCCGACAGGCCAGGAGTGGCATCCAAACCCTGCAATTCAATTTCAAAGGAAACCTTATTTCCGCGAATGAAGCAGAATCGTAAGATGTGTTGCTGCTGCTGCCGCCGTTGATGGTGTGCCGGTTGCTGGGGTATAGTTGTTGCTAGCTGATGGTAGTCGAATCCTCGCTTAAAGCTGGCAATACCTGCTGTTCAGCGCAGTCTACGGGTGGCATGTTTGGGCTTCATGTTCCCTCATGTGGCGTTGAACAACTCTGCCAGGGCAAATCCCAATTCAAACAGCCAGAAATGGATCCCAGCAAATCCAAACAGGACACCTGGCGAAAAATGCAACTAGTCGAGCAAATGGAACAGCTTAACGGATTACGAAACAATCCTGCATACTTCCAGCACATTGTAAGCTAGTCTCACAGCTAAACAAAAACATCGCTTGAAGAAAAATCCAAGTCTGCCTGCTGGTGTGCCCCAAAACCCAAACAGGCTGCTTCAGTTTCTGAGGCCCCGCGCCTGATAGCTCAGGTTTCCGTGCTGGTTAAAAAGCATCAAGATGCACATCTGGTACGTGGAGACCTGGCGCTTTGGGTTTTTGTGGCAAGAACTTCCGTCAGACCACAGAGCTTCAGCCCCGCGTTTTGGAATGCAGTGACAAAGGTAGAAGGCCCAAAAAATCAGCCAGCGGTGCTTCTGGTTAAAAAACAGCTTGTCAGCATGGACCTGTCATGTTCATGGTCCAGTGATAGAGGGAACGACTCGAGCTTCATAAACCACGTTTGTCGTGCTTTTCTGCGGCCTCAGCCATGTGCTTCTCAAATGGCTCCGAGGCTGTCCGACATGGATGTGATGAAATTACATAGTTCATCCCCCAAAATAATGTGGCAGTAACATCTATCAATAGATGGTAGGTGTCACCAATCAAGCGCCCAAGCAGATTCCGAATCAAAACACAAGAGAGTCGGCTTGCACTGGCAGAAACAAGAGTCACGCAACAAATGGTCACTGCCTCGGGGGAATCATGTGTCACAAGCTGGAAAACGGGAGCTCGCCAAGGACGGACATCCCTGCCTTCATTTTTTTGTTCAAAAGGAAGGAAGAAAGGAAGGAAGGAAGGAAGGAAGGAATGAAGGAAGGAAGGAAGGACGGAAGGAAGGAAGGGAGGGAGGGAGGGAGGGAGGGACGGAAGGAAGGAAGGAAGGGAGGGAAGGAGGGAGGGAAGGAGGGAAGAGAGGGAGGGAGGGAGAGATGAAGGAAAGAAGGAAAGAAGGAAAGAAGGAAAGAAGGAAAGAAGGAAAGAAGGAAAGAAGGAAAGAAGGAAAGAAGGAAAGAAGGAAAGAAGGAAAGAAGGAAAGAAGGAAAGAAGGAAAGAAGGAAAGAAGGAAAGAAAGGGTTCCCCACAAGTGGCTCGCTGTGAACCTTCTGAAATTTGGTTCAACAAGGGCCCCATAGACTCTCATTGCCGCTCTTACAGCCGCTTCGACCGGAGCTTGAGCAGCCCCGCGTTCAGCTCGTGCTTGGACTTGGGCATGTGCGCCTTTTCCCGGCGTGGGAAAGCGAAAGCAAAAGCAAAAGCTGGAGAGGCAAGGAAAGGCACATCTACTAGACGGATTGTACTGAATAAGAAATACTACTCGGGTGCTAGTCAGGGCATTCACACCCATGTGTATACATATATATATATATGTACATAAATATATATATATATATATATACATATACATATACATACATATATATATATATATATGTATATATATATATATAATGCATATATAGTAGCCCCACATGACCCGTCAATGCCTCAGAATCGAGCACTCAGTGGCGCCCAACATAGTCAAAACATGAACAATTGCACACATAGCGCGTTTGTTGGCTGACATGTTCAACTGATTTGAAAGGGAATCATGGGACTCCAAAGCCTTGCAGCGCTTCAAAGCTCCACCAAGAACCCAAAGCCAAGATTGCTCAGGGCTCATCCCATTGGTCCCCCAGATTTCCCCACCCCAAAGCTTGAAAGCGCTTAACAGCTCCCGGGAACCAAGGACCATGGCTCACTCCAGAGAATGGTTGTCTGGGCAGGGAAGTCCAGGTCAAGATTCTAGGGTCACCTTCCGAAACTCTTTCCAGGAATCCTTCTTTCTAGAAAACCACCCAAAACCCTGGGGAAACAGCTGGTTTTTGAAAAGAACGATGGGGTGAAAAGAATGGAGAAGGACTCCGCAGGATTCCATCAGATCTTGGCTATTAGTTCTTGGCCTTCAAAGCGCCAAGCTTTTGGGTTGGTGAAATCCGAGAGGCCATTCTAGAGTCCTGGGAATCCTGGCTCTTGGTTCTTGGTGCCCAAAAGCTTCCAAATGGAATTCAAGCTCTTTATTCGAGCGCTGCCCTAACTCTGGTCCAAGGTGTGAGTCGAGTAGTGTCTGCAATCTAAACAGCTTACTATTTTCAAGCTTCTGGCTTGGTCCAGGAATCCGGTGAGATTTAGTGGCATCTCGGCATATTGCATGTTAAGCCCTATCAAAACTCAATGTTGCAGATATTCACTTTCGTGTTTCATCACCAAATCCTTGACCAAAGTTAGCTAACCTTTGCATAATACGCACTCTTCCCGCATCCCTTGCTGCAGCTTCAACTTCAAACTTCAAGACTAAGGCACATCTTGTTTCATGTGCCAATACTCGAAAAGTCAAGCTGCATATGTGTCTTCACCCCCCCCCAAAAAAAAAAAATCCAGCAACTGATCAATCGCATCTCTGACTCATGCCTTTTTTGCACGGCCAGCCGTTGCAATGTTGTGGAAGTCCCTTCTGGGGTGGGGGTAGCATGTGTATATATATATATATACATATGTGCATATGCATATGCATTTATATGTATACTTGCTTACTTGTATATAATATCAATATCATATAGGGGAGCACTGCTTAGGACAACGGACTTTCCAGCCGAAGGCTGCTGACAAGCTAACCCAGCACAATTTTGAGTCAAAAACTGCCAACATGTTCAGGATCATATTGTATGAGTCAAGGATTCTGACCTGGGCTCAGTTCAGTCGATGCATCTCATGCCTACGTGACATCATGATCATACATACAGCAAACAAGCAAATTCATACTGCGTGCAGTAATTGTTCCATCCCCTTGTTCGCTTTCAAAGGAAACGCAGAAAACCGTTGCCATTTGGGCGTGTCTCTTTTTGAGGGTACCCTGTTTTAGCTGCTTTTCAGGGGAAACCAACAGGAGAACCACTTTTCACACACCCAAAAAACGAGCCTTGAGGTCCGCAAAGCCATGCTGGGGTTGCCAGGAGAGCCTGCGCCCTGGCATTCAGGCAATGAGATCAAAAATTTGGCGCTCGTGGCCCAGCTGTTGTCGCAGGGTTCTTCATAGATTATGAGGTTTCATGAGGTGTCATGAGATTTCAACAGTTTCTTCATAGATTATGAGGTTTGTGACTATCAGTGGCTTGCTTCTGCACAAGCATTGAGGTTTGTTTGGATCAACTCTACTCACATACCTTGATGAAGCGTGCTTCATGAAGGCTTGGAAACTAGAAACCAATCTCTATGTTGGGTGATTTGGTTCACAATTGTTTTCACGGCGTGGACAGCCCGATGCTGACAAGTCTTTTCGGCATGTCCACCTTGAAATTAGTATATTATAAACTTGCTGCAATGATGTTGTCAGCTTAAATAGCCGTTGCAAACAAGGCGCAGCAGCCTGGAAATGGAACATTGTTTCTTCTGCATTGTCTTGTCTTTGGTCTAGCCTCCCTTGTGTTCCGTCCGTCCTGTTGCCCTTTGCTTGCCAATTCTGGCAGCAGGCCAGCAACAGGGCAATTGCGCCTTTTCAGCCTGCAGACAACTTGATTGACACATTGAAGGCTATTGCAGGAAACAAACGCATTAAAGCTGATTCTTCATGTGACAAAGCATAGTGGTTGGGAAAGAGGGCCGGGCCACCATGTGCACAATTACTCGGCCGTCCTTATGCTACCTCGGCGAGCCTTAGCATTCAGCTGTGAAGAACAGTGCATGGTAAGCAAATCATCGACACAACCGGACTGCACCGCGCCTGTGTGCTTCGCAAGATAGAAGGTCTCGAAGCGGCTGCAGCACTCCTCGCGTCGCTAGAGATTCCAGACCGCCGACAGGCCGTATTCAATACGCAAACGTCGACACAACACTTGACATGACCTATTAAGCCTTGCCAGAATGACACATAGTTGCAACTCTCCACAATGGCAGAGGTTCAATGCAAGTACCAACTCTTGCAGTTCCACTTCGCACCAGAAGCATAGCTTTTTTGTTAAACCAAAAGCCGCGCTTGCACAACGAATGCTGCCGAAATGCTAGGTGTCCTTGTAGACTTAGCCAAGGCCATCAGTCAGTCCAAACCAGGAACAAATACCCTCGTCCCTTGCTTGTCTTCACTCTCCAATTGCCACTATGTCGAACAAAACCCGGATTTTGTGCTGAGTGTTACAACACAAAGAACTAACTCTGCAAGGCACGCACCCAAGTTGGCAAAAGCCAAAAGATGCTGTAAACCTCGAAGCATTGCGCTTGAGCAAGTATTCTGCCGTTAGAAAGGCGCCGCATACCAGGGGTGGCGCCTTTTGTAGCTCGTTCTCATCCCTTCTGCAATTGCTATGCTGGAGACTTCGAAAGCAAAACCGACTCCTCGCGAGGTACCGGCATGGCTTATCTGAATACACCAGGATCCAAGGATCGAGTGAATGAACAAACAACAAAGCACCGCCGCTTTTGTCACATGACTTTCATCCGGGCTTCGAATATTTTTTAAAGGATATGTCTGTTCTCAGGGTAGCTTCCCCATTCTTTCCAGGAATCCTTCTTTCTAGAAAACCACAAACAGCATGGGGAAACAGCGGGTTCTCGAAAAGAGCGATGGTTGAACAGAATGAACAAGGGATCAACCCGTAGATCTGCAAGGAGCCTTGGCGGTCGAACTCTCTAAGCCTTGGGCGTCGCAAACCCCCACGTGAGATCTCGCCTGCACCTCCGGCGGCAGCTCGCAGGGCGCCCCTGGCGGGCCTGGCGAACACGGCGGTTGGCGTCCCTCCCGGGGTTGATGATTTTCAACTCTCGTTCTTTTCTAGGGGGTTTCTAAAAAGGGGCTCTAGCTTTTGTAGTTTTTCTAGGGGGGTTGAGTCCTCCTTTTCCTTTCTTTCCAGCCATCGTTCTTTTCAAAAGCCAACCATTTCCCCAGGGTTTTTGGTGGTTTTCTAGAAAGAAGGATCCCTGGAAAGAATGGGGAAGGTAGCCCTAGAGTCCCTTTGCAAAAAGCCGCTGGTCGAATCGCCCACGAAGACACCCTGCCAAAAAAGAAAAGAATGGAAAACACGGGAGACAAGCAAATGCATCAGTGCCTGAATGTTTGCAAAGCTGGGATGGAAACAAGCGCGTCACTGAATTTGATCGGATGTTGATGTGACAAGGAGTGGACTCAGCCCCTTTCATCACACAAGCAGCGAGCTTGGGCTAGGCATGCACCTTGGCTACCTCCAGGTCGGGACAATGACGAAATCCACCGTACAAACATTCACCGTTTTAAGTCACGCAAACTAGTCAAAAGGATCAGAGATCGGCACTTCGATCGCAGAAACGTCAGTCGCTGTCATTTCCATACAGCGAGGTTGCTGATCCTGCGTTGAATGAGAATGGAAAAACCGGGCAATTGAACATGTCTGCCTGCGTCCTTGGAGCCGCTCTTTTTTGTTACTCTGTTGGCTTGACTGACGCATCTCCCCACTTGCACAAGGGCATGGTCACCTGGCTGCCCCGAAATCATGTTTTGTTGTTTTGCCGAGGATGCGAGCCCCGTGCATTTTGCATCCTCCAACCCTTAAGCAAATCAATTCGCTATGCCAGCAAGCTTGCCAGGAAGGAAGGGCACACTTTGCTTCTGCAACTTGCAGGTTTGTGGGCATCAACGCTATCACCATGTCCTGCACACCAGCTTGTGTCCTGGTTGGAGTCCTTGGCTACACGTTCGTCTGTACGCTACATGTCCACGGCTGCTTAAGCGACGCATAGTGCAACAGCGCGGCAAGAAAACAAGTCAGAGTTCGCTTATCCGACTTATCTTTCTGAGATGGTTGCTGTCAGAATAACTACCCACACCGTGGTAGTCTTACCATACATGCAGGCAGTCACGCTTGGCAAAACACATCTCCCGCACCCCTCAACCTGTACCGCCCAATTCATATGCAAGCCCTCCAGAAAGAGGCCCAAAAAATCAAGACCTGACACTCAGCATCCTCAATGCAAAAGGAGAGGCAAGGCGTCAGCTGTAGACACTGCCAAGTGGGCAACCCATTTGCTTTGAACTTCTCAACATGTGCCCTGCTCAGTCTTTGATTTCAGATAGTTCAGACAGCTTCGCTATGTTTGCCACATGGGATGGTCCTGTTCCCGTTGTGACGAGCCTGGAGAGGGTTGTCCAAAACCCTCTCAAAGGATTGAGCATCACTCCCCAGAAAATCCAAGCCAAGTTCTGGGTTAACTTGATGCACAACCTGTCTGGAACATAGGTGGCCTTTTGGAAAAATAGATGGGGTTCCCTGGTAAATGGAACAAAACCCTATTTTAACCGGTGGAACCGATCTATTTTTTTTAATATATTTTTTAAGGCTCACCTAAAACGGGCACCTATGGTCTTGAAGTTCTTCTGTTGCCCGTTTTCCACCGCATCAAAGAGACGAAACGCCCTCGAATGTCCGTTTTCGCCATGCCTGGCCAAAAGCCGCTCGTCAGCACCGACACCTGCGCTTCGCGGAACGCCGTGAGGAGATCCAAGCCAAGCTGAGCTTCCACCCTTAGTGTGGTGGCACCAAGCATGAACAGACCCAAACACCAAAAACAAAAAACAAAAACTTGCCAAGAACCGAGAAGTAAGTGGTCAACCTCAGGAATCGACCTCTGAAAAATTGCTGACTTCATGATGGTCTCCTTAATCAGATCCAAAAGACCTAGCATGCAATGTCCAAACTCCTTGAGGCTCTGCGATTCAACATATGCGTTGTGATGATCACGCTCATCGGTCAAGCTGGAGATCCTTCAGACTGTGTGCTGTCAAAAAAAAGAGAAAAGTCTGAAGACTCCGGTACAGCCAAAGAGCCTGGAACTGCCTGGAACCCTGACCGATTTTCTTTGGGAAACTCCACATGTGACTTGCCATTGGGAAATTGAATCCGGGAGATAGAAATGGAATCCAATCCAACCCGAGGTCCTTCAGGTCGATGGCTGATGCGGAAGAAGATGCCGGTCCTCAACAACTTTCATCCGAGTCCGTTTCCACTAGACGCTACACTTTGACATCTACACCACAAATCCAACGATGCTCTGATGCTAAATCAGGCATTGCGCAAAGACCGGGCCTTACACAAGAAAGCCCTAAGCTTGATCCCTGCTAAGTTGCAGCCCAAAAGCAAACTGCACTTTGACCAAGGTACAAGGTGTTTAGAAAGTTACATGAGCATCTAAAACCGAAGCACGGAACCGAAGCTGCGCTTCTGATCCAAGAGAGAGGCTACGTCCTTGATCAGGCTGTCTAATGCTTACCAGATCAAGATGGTGTCCCCATTTGCGAGGTGTCACTGCACCAAGCATGACAGGCACCGAAAATCAAAACAAAAACTACAATGATGGGCACCAGCAAGCCATAGCCTTGTCTGCAAACATCAAGATTATCGAGTGAAGGTAGCGGCTGTGGTGGAGCTGCAAAGCATTACAAGTCATCGGGTGCAACCTGTGCTTGCCCTGCACAAAGCCTGCCAAAATGAGCAAGCTCTACAAACAACTTAAACATCTGAAACATACATTGCCTGGGAATGCGGCAAAACATAAGGGTCACAACAAGCATTGCAACAATGACACAATGAATGCAAATGCGACGGCTCCCACAACCTTTCACAAAACAAAAAAGATGAAGAACATGAGCAGCTAAACAAAACAATTCCCAAAGCACACCACCAAGTTGCAGCAGTTGCATCTGAAATACCATTCGAAACACCCAAAGCTTCAACCCCTTGCTGCAACACTGGCCTGGTCTGGAACTTCGCCTGGGCAAGAGACGGACAGGGCTGAGAGCGCTATCAACCTCTGTTGAGTTCTTCCCCTACAAACAACAATTACCCAGAACTGGGCAAGAAAAACTTCCCAGAAAAGCCCAAAGCATCCCAAAACCCTTGTGCAAGAAGGGTTCTTGCACCAACATTGGGTTGTTTGGGGGGGGAATCCTGCCTTCCAGTTTCACTGCTTGTCCCCATGTGCCAGCCGTCACTTGAATTGATGCGAGGCAAGCTAATTGGACACTATGATCATCATAACCCAACTTTGACACCCGCTCCATCCGCGCCACTACCAAAGTCGTGTCTATGTTTCATATGTATATACATATATATATATATGCATTATATATATACATATATACACATATAATCCTCTCCCCCTAATAATAAACTGTCCCCTCCCCCCCCCTTATTAGGGTCCCCGGGTTTTGGGCCAGAACTGTTTCAGACTGCGTTGTTTAGTACTGGCATCAAATAGGCAAGGGGGACCCCTTTGATTTGCATAGAAAGTGTTCAAAATGCAATTTCCGAGCAAGAACTTTTAAAGTGAAGGCACCCTTGCTTTGTCTCAAAACGAAACCTTCTCAAGGGAACCCAACGGAGACCCTAATAATAAAACCCTTGCCACGCAAAGCAACCCTTTGGTGAACCCTAATTAGCACATCCGCAGAGTTTCGCTGAGTGGATCTCGGTTCGGAAGAGTTCAGTATTGGGAAAATTGAATTAAGTATTGGCAATGTTGGGGGTCGGCTGGGGGGTTTTATTGTTTGGGGGAAGGTTCACTCGGAGTACATATACACATTGTGTTACATAGGCGCCTGGAATGAGAACACGTATTACATCAATCTGAAATCAAATATGCTCTCAGCATCATACCACTGTGTCTTTTCCAGCCCTTTGTGTTTTCCGAGCTGCACGCCAGCTCTCCTGTTGTGATTCTCTGCTGT